CCCCCCGCATTCTATCTCACAAATATCTTCTCTCTCACTGTCCCCAATACCCCCATTGTTCTTCTTCTCAAATTCCTTCCACGCACAACTCCAATCCCTTTTATTCATCCTCAAGGAAAGTATTCCTCTCATCTCATCTCTTTTCTTTTAGTATTTAAGTAGTTTTAGTTTATTTTGAATCAAACCCTAGGTAGAATTTAGTTGTGCAAGATTTTTAGTTTCTTTGCCTATTATGGACGGAAACGGTGCTTAACTTGTGGGGTGTTCATTGTTCTTATGATTGTTGTTTGGTGTGTTTTGATTGTGTGGAATTAATTTATGTTGGAGCTTGCTCGGGTGCCCATGTAGCCAAAAATTAGTGAAGTTTGGTATAAAATTTGTGCACTTTGTGCTATTGTGAAGATGTGGTGATGTTGTGGTTGTAGTGTGAGGTGTATTTTCTTTGGGTGTATGGTGATTCTAACTCACTTTGAATTGAAATAAGAAGGTGCAAGATATGGCCACAATGTGTTTGTTGAAATGTCTTAGTAACATAAAACTGTGTAATGCAAATTGAGAAGAGAAGTGCTTTGTGGGATGTGATGCTTGATGATAAGTGTGGGGTGGGATGCCATGTTATTATGCTATGAAACATTAACTCGTCAGCCCCGAGTTCTAATTGATTGACCACCCCATGCTCATGTGTTGCTAGGTTCCAAATGAGGTGTCCGATTCATGTTATTGTACTTGTGTAGTGTTTTATTGTATCCTAATTTTTTTAATAATGAATTAGACTAAATTCTTATTTTTTTCTTTTCGTGATTACTAGTTTAGCTTCTTAATTTTGTCTTTTACACTAGTGTAGTCTGTGGTTCTATTGTTGGAATATTGTGTAGGTGGTTGGGTGGGCTGTTGATTGCTTGTGGCATGCTTCCAATGGGGTAGTCTGAGTCCCCGATATACATTTTACTTGTGAACATACCAATAACATAAGTGTGGGGTGGTTACCCCGTTTGGTCTTGTTTTGTTTTACGTGTTGTGGCTAATATTGTTCATCTTGTACAGGTACAATGTCTCGCCACCCTAGCAAACACTCTAACACAGGTTCTTCCGAGGTCGCCTCTAGTAGCCACCGAGGAGGTTGGCAGGCACCTCCCCCCGCCCTAGTGGAGGAGGAAGAGGTGCGAATTGATACAAACGGATGTGGTACTAGAGTGCAAATTTTGTATTCGGGATGTCCCAGCCTATGCACGACATTAGTTCTAGACGTTTGTCCCTGCAGTGAAACCAGAGCCTACGGTTCCTATTGACCATGGGGACTTGGCCCGAAAATATAACGAGATATACAACAACATTCGGGCTTTGAGTTTTGACAGCGTGTTACATCCAGGTGATGCGGTGAACGTGAACCTGGTAGAGGATTTTTACACCAACTGGTAAACTGAGGCCAGCTTGTATGTTGTGTACGATGTACGGGTACGAGGTTAAGTGATTCCATTCTCCTCCCAAGTGATCAATCGGATTATGGGTTTCATAAGGCATTCCCACAAGCTCTTTTAGAGGTTTCTCCATCGGCCAGACTATCCGGTTATTCGCCGACAGCTATGTGGCATTGACTCTTCTGCCGTATGGACGTAAGATGTGAATGAATTCCACAAGAACATGAAGAAGGGAACATTTCAGCGACCGACCATGGTTATTTTGCGGTTAATCAATGCCAAATCATGCCTACCCAAATTGACATTGATGTCTCACGACTCAAACTCTATTTGATCTATGCCTTTTTGATAAGGATGCAGTTTGATCTTGGAAGAATCATATTGGAGCACATGGAGAGAGTGCGGCCACTTAGGGCTCGCCGCCTACACTACCCGAGTATAATCACTCGGTTGTTGCGGGCACACCATGTAGAGGAGGAGTTTCACTATGACCGAACCATCCCAGTAGCATATCCTATCAAGGCCTTTGATGTCACGGCACTGATAGATCCCCTACTGTTGTTGTTACTTCGGACCAAAGGTTGCTGCGTGTTGAGGAGACACTGCAGCTGATGTTTGCTGACTTGCGCATTCGCTCTGCTTGAGGGGAGACCGACTTGGGGGAGTTGCAGCAGGATCACCCACTTTCTGTTCTCACTCAATAGTGGTTGGGATGGCGGGGGAAGGACAACAACCGCCAGATGAGGA